TTGCACTTGCCTACAACGTTCATTGACTTTGTTGACAATTAAAAGTATGTAATCTCGAGACACCCAAGAAATGAGAGCGTTAGCAAATCTGTAGTCTGTTTATACGATCGCACATTGCAAGTCTAAGGCTTCACAGATGACTTAAACTGCAGATAGTTGCGTGCAAGAGTTAGAACATGATATAATCTTTGAGAAGAAAAAGATCAATAGATGCAAAATATCTTTTCCAAGCATTCCAATAACTTGAAGCCAACCATTTAGAATAACTAACAAGAGATTCCCGGAGTTTGAGTTTTGAAGTCATCTTGTGGACAAGATTGTTTGGGGGGAAGGATGTGTTACAGGGATAATGAAGAGGGGAGTTTGAGACACGTGGAGGGTTTACAGTGGTGGGGGAAGGTTGTTATGAGTTGGTTAAGGGATGGTAACGGCTCCATCCAGAGTGTGACAGCTGGCAAGTGACGAGAGCAGAGTTTGTTAAATACTCTGTTTCGTAGTAGGATAGATTCATTCAGAAAATTGTAAGATATTCTTGTTACTCTCTTTGTAATTCTCTCTCTGGAATTCTATCGACATTTTCCTGGAAAGTAATACGAGATTCATTCGTTTGAGGTCATTCTTATTCAGATCTCTTGCTATTGAATTTCTAGATCTTTGTTTACTAATTGAACATTGATCTAACATACGGAGAAAGGATTCTCCGTATTAATTGGCTGCAAAGGGGGCGGCATGATGGAGGGATTTCTCGACCACCGGCGTGAGGCCAGTGAGCGGCGCGACTCGGAAGAAGCTCTAGTCGCAATTTTCGTCGCAGGAGAGAGAAAGCGACTTTTTAGAATCAAATACTTAGGTGTGGGAAGCATTCCAATAACTTGAAGCCAACCATTTAGAATAACTAACAATCTTCATAGATAGTAGATGACTTAGGGAAGACAGTTTTGTAGTGTTTACCAAGGATACAAGATTCACAGTCATCATTTTAAAAAGAAACATGAGGTAATAAAAGGTTCAC